CATGTAAATAAAGAGAATGAAACTGCAGGAGTACTATGTCTCTAGGGCCTTGTTGCTCAAGCCAGGTCTATACAGCTGGCACAATTATGTCTGCCGTGGTGTCAAGAGGTGTTATCTCAATGTCAGCAGAAACCCCTAATGCAGTTACAGAAATAAAGAGCAATAACAACAGCAGCCTCAGTATTAGCAGTTTGTTGTTGTTGTTGTTGTTTTACTGTAGTGCCTAGAAGCCCCAGTCTTGTATCAGACCCAGACAGCTAACTTCCCCAGTACGGGGTATTTCATTTAATGGGGATGGTTTGCTGAAGGGTAGAAATCGGTTTTCTTTGACTACTGAGCTCAGAAGTTTACTATTATTAGATTTTTTTTTCATTCTAGATTTCTATAAAACCAGTCATAGATTAAGCCACTTCTGAACCTTTACCTAGTTAGACTGAGTTTCTTTGTGCTCTTGGGCATTATACATTACTGCATTTTTTTTTTGTGAATCTTCTACAGCTTTTATATATATATATATATATTTTTTTTTTCTCTCAAAATGCTGCCACTAGAATTTGACATATTGCTTCAGGAATAATATCATTGATGCTGTAATTGCTAGTAGTATTATCTCTTTAAACATGCTGTTCAGAAGGGAGGAATGAAATCTGATCTTCGTGCTACAATGCTTGAGAAGGAAAGAGATGAGATTTTCAGGCTACTTATAAAGAGCGAGACACTATATTTTGCGTCAAAAACAATTTTTAATTTGCCTTTTTTCACATCAGTCTCGCTAGCTGTTAGCACATCTGCTCAGCCTTTGCAGGCCAGCGGAAGTACATAGTTCAATCATTTGGGTAATGCTGTAGGAAGCAAGTAGTTTAGCTGAATAGCTGGCTACTTAAAAGCTTAGACATAGCTTAGAACAGACAATAGTATTTCAGTATTGGAGTCATTCTTGGCATAGAGAGAAGCTCAGTCTACCAGGACAGGAATTACAATTCAAAATACATTATAGCAGATTTCAATGCATTACCAGAGTTTCTTGGGGTAGGTTAATGCTCTATAATTACCCTTAGCAAATATGAAGCAAAGTCAGAGAGACTCAAAGACATGAGAGAAAAGGTGTGAATGATAACTGATTTGAAAAGTAACATTTGAGACTGGAATGCAAAAATTCTATAAATGTTAATGAGTTTTGCTTGAGGGAGAAGAAGCTGTTGTGTGGAAGGCATGAAGAGACCTATATCTTAAATATATAGCCAACACAGTTACCACAGTATATAGTCAATCTTTTACATTAACTAATAACTCTTAAAAGTGGTTTATGGATCAGTATGGAACCATACTGATCAGGGGATCGAGAACTCTATTTAAAATGCTTTGAATACGGAGGATAAGGTGCTGGAGAGGACAGTACAAAAATATCACTTTTTGACTTTGGAATGTATTAATCCATAGGCAATAGACTTAATTTTTTTAAGTTCTTGGGGACTGCTCTTCTACAAGGACTTTATATTTCCTCTCTGAAAATTACAGTCTATGCAACTATAACAAAGGAGATGCAGCAATGAGTCATCCGGTCACCAGTTGTGTCCTCAGGATTAAAGCTAGCTACGGCAAAAATCTCTAGTGATTATTCCAGTGCTGAAGAACAAGTAGCTTGTTTTGGTAAAATCTTCTAGAATAGTGGGAAGCTAGAGTTTAAAATGAAACAGCCCTCATATCAATGAATTCAAAGCTCAGATTTAGTATTACTACCTGTGTTATAACTGGAAATTCTGTTTCAAATTTAGGAAGTACATTTGAAATAACAATTGATTTATTGGACTAGCATTTCAAGATTGTTATGTTTCAGCAGTTAATTCTTAGGGTGTACCTGAAAAACCCAGCTGAAAAATTCAAAATTTGATCACATGAAAAAGACTTTTTAGGTATTAAACCTCAGATGTTATTGAATACCTAAATTGTTGTATAATAAAAGTTGTATGATCAATCACATGCATGGCAAATATGCGTGTCAGTTTATCAAAATGAAAACTCATTTTACATGTTTTAACACATGTATTGTTGCATTAATACTAGCAATAAGATTACTTCTATATCTGAAACAGACTAGATAGCTAAATATTTCTGTCAGGAAACAAATTCTAAGCAAGCAAATAACATGAAACTGCACCGGGTTAACTTATTTGGTTAACTTATTTGTTCATTTGCCAGTTCTGGGTTAAATGCATTATTTAACCCAGAGGAGCTAATGCTCTGCAGAAGACTCAAAAGTAGCACAAGCAGAAAAAAAATTAGTGATCTAGATTGAGATGCATTGTATATCTATAGGATGGGTGATGATCTCTACAATTATGTAAATTCAAATTTATGTCCGTCTATATGGTGCTGAAAAGGAGCTCCAGAGTCTCTGATATACCATTTCTCTGATGAGAGATTTAAGCTGTTGTCCTGATGGCTGAGGAGAAGGAGGTAGAATGACGGGTAGTGGCAGGAGGAGATTCAAACCACAGTTTTGTTACCTAGATGGGTGCCAAAGCTATGACTCTTGGAGCCCCTTGTTTCCTGGTTAATGAAAAGATTGAGACATAGAAAGAGAGCAGAGCACCATGGCTGATGAAGTTTGGCAGTACAAATGCCCGCCTCTCCCCTCTTTACCCTTAGTGTAGTCAATACTAAAATAATACTGGTTAGGAAGGCTGGTCCAAGGACTATTCACCAGCAAAATCCTATTTAAGCCTCTAAGAAAGGAATTAAAGAGGATTTAAACAATATCTTGGCCTATATTGGCTCTCTGTTTGGGAAAGAATTTCGCTCTGATTTTAAAAATGTTTAATGAATATATTTTCAATAATTACATTATATACTCATAAGAATAAGGAATAGAAAATACCTGTTAAGCCATTGTGTTAATTTTTTGTTATGCAGGACTGTGCTACTGCAGTGTGCCTCCTACTTTGTGTTTTGCCCAGCTAATTTTCTGAATTCTGATCATGAATTTTGACCCTGCTGCATTTGTTCCGGGCTTGTTTATACAGGCAGAAAAGTAGGTTCCACTTTCCCTGAAACAGGGCTCTGTACAGCCATACAACATTATGGCTGTAGGCAGTAGTGATGAAGGCAGGCAAGGAATTTGTAACAGGTATTTCTATTTCTCCTTATGTTTGTGCCTGAGAATGCATTGAGGAGTATAACAATTAGCTGAGGTCTGTTCTTCCCTATTCACTTCAGCGCAGGTGAGCTGGCAGAAGAATCACTGTGGACAGTTAGCAGTAACTTGAGCTTAACTCTTCTTTGAGGCTAATTGCTGGGCTCAGGAAAGGCATTTATTGTTTTCTATTTCATATTGTTTTGCTATCTATTTATTTTGATCTCCTTCTGTCAAACAAAATATAGATTGCAATTATAAATTAGGATATTCATAATTAGACTTTATTAAGATTTTTTCTTTTCAAGCTTTTATTTGCACATCCCTTTCAAAGTAATTTACTGACCTGAAAATATTTTACAACACTGTGTTTTGAAAATTAAAAAAGGCCTATCTTATGTAGCCAGCTAATGCTTAGTTTTGGAATGTCAGCTATTCATAAAATCAGTTGCCAAATTCTGAACATACTATTTGAATTTTGATTTATATCAGATTTGGTTTTCTGTCTATGAGCCTGCCATTTGTTTTTCTATGAGATTACTGAGTCACAAAAACCTCTGGGGCTTTGGGGTTCTATTCTGGCTTGGCACAGGGATTTTCTTTTTAAATCTCAGAATTCCCACAGGACAGCAAAACAATTTGCTATTCAGCTGTATTTGTAATGACATGGAGTACCCTGAAAAAGAGCTTTTTTTTTTTTTTTTTTTTTTCCTTGGACAAACAAGCATCTCCTGAACAGGGCATCTTCTCTTCCTCTCCTTGTGTGTGGCCTTGGCTCTCTCATTTCCCTCCCTGCCTGTGGCAGCATCCTAGTGGGTGCAGGAGTCATTCCATGCATGGGAGGTATGGAGAGAGGTGTCTAGTTGAATGGAAGGAAGGAAGATGGGGATAGCTACTTGCACAAAGATGCTGACTTGCTACTGAGAAGGGTGCACAGAGGATGGTCCCTGCATGGAGAGCAAGGCAGGCTATGACTCACAGGGAGCAAAGATGAAGATGTTTCTGTGGTGTAATGGTCATATATGTATTATCAGCCTGGTGACTTCTGGTCATTCTGCAGCAAATGAGACTTTCTGCAGGGTTTCTGCCTTTCTGCATACCATCCCATAGTCTGCAATATTACTTGGAGAACTGCAAATAGTATCATGGAATTACTTAGCCAAGGTAATTTCTGAAAATGTGGTCAAAAGATAATGTGACTGCACATGAGAGGAACTGACATTAATTTTGTATATACCCAGAACTTGCATTGATTTTAACAGAAGCATAGAGTCTCTGAGAAAAGCAGAATCAGGCACAGGATATAACTGTGATCTTATACAGCTTTGTAGGAAAGATATTATCAATATACAGGCCAGCATAATAATCTCTTTGGTTTATAAGAAGCTCAGTGAAAATGTGATGCAAGATAAAACAAACGGAAGTAGTTTTCTTATCCAAAGGTGTGCAGAAAATTGAAAATCAGAGTTCATACTATCACTTTGATCAAACCCTGTTTATCTATTTTTAAGGGAATTATCCTATTTTTTATTGATTTGTCAACTATGGATGAGTATTTCTTCTCCAAAAATGTTTTAGGTGACACATGTTTAAAATTAGACTTGGCAGAGCAATTTGCCTAGAGATTATTCTTGTGAAGTATTGATTCACAGCACTGCTGTGAGTAGGATTACTGTCCAAATTGGAAAAGCCAGTCGTAGGGAGGTCTTTATCCGTTAATAGCAATTAGCTTCTGTCTTATTGGGACACAGCTGACTGAGGCAAAGGAAAGCTGGAAAATATCAGACACTCAGAGAAGCTAAGACCTGTTCTTAGGGATGAGGGTGACAGCAGAAGGAAAGAAAAAAAGAGAAAAACATTAAGAAAGATGATTTTCTGGAACTGGAAACCAGATATTCTGGTACTGTTTATGTTGCTGATTATCAGGTATTCTGAAGAACGGGATCGCACTCGCCTCCCTCTTCTTGGGCTTTCACCTGCCAGCTGCCTAATTGATCAGAGAAACCTAACAGCAGGCGTATTGCCTGCTATTCACTTAGCCTTACAACATTTATACAGGCATTCATGGATTTTGAAGAACTATGAACTGCAGATATCATTCCACGATACTCAGGTAAATGGATTCACTTATGTAGTTGTCTAACGTTTGAGTCTCACCTGCGGTTACCCTTTCTTAAGCTTGCTTACATGCGCTTGCAACTCCCACTCAACTAAAATATAGTAAATATCATTGTTTGGTAATGCTTGGACTGCTAGGTGTATGATTAATTGACTTGCAGTTCAACCTTACTTTACTGATGCTAGAAGTAGGAATAAAGAGTTTGTGAATAAAGAGGGATGCCGAACACCTATGTCTCCTCAGATGTTTTGGAGGTCCCCAACTGAATGACTTGCTGAGTTGTTTTGTTCTTCCACACTAGCTTGGGTGTCCATTTCTTTCTGCTTTCTTTTGTAGCAGCTCCATAGGTCTCCTTCTGTTTCTGCTGCTGTGTCAGTAGAAGTGACATCTGTGTTATGTTACTGGAGCAGGGCATGTTAAGTGTTGCTTTCTGATTAGGTGTAAAATAAAGTGTTAAAAAAGGTAAGGATTCTGAGGAGCAGGATATAGAGAGCAGTGAGATGATATCTGCAATACCTTCAAATTCGCAAAGAGCTGTGTTTTCTGCCTTTTCTTCTAGGACTGAGGAATCTCTATCTTCTGTGCAGAAATCAAATCATGAAAATTTAATGTTTGTGGCTTCTCTTTTAAGATGTGCAAAGCGTTTGAGACTAAATCAAGTAGACACTCACATGTCAATATAATCTGGGAGTGTAAACCTGTACTTCAACTGAATGACACCAATGATTTGAATTCTGCCTCCCACATCTGAGGCAGTTTGTGGGGCAGATGCCCTCAGACTCATACATGTTTTATGCAAATGTGCATACACACTCCACAGACAATGTTAAGCTACTTAATATTTTGAAATTGCAAAGTGGCACATCAAACACATTTGATTAATCCTTTAAACATAGATGGTCCTGTTATAATCAAGTTTTTAAAATAGGCATTATTGCACCAATTACAGTTGCATTGCACCTTATATGGAATTAAGGTATTTTTATGTCTTTTGTTGAAGCTATAGAAAATTTTCAAAGAGTGAAGTTTAGTGTGATTGTAATTCTGCATTTGGTTCCTTAGCACTTGTGTGTGATTTTTAAAGTGCTTTAAACATGACTGATGTGATGCTATGAGTTACTTGAAGATAGCTTCTATGCTTAAGCATGTAACACAAATATATATATGCGTTGAGAAAATTTCTTTTTTGTTAATTACATTTAATACCACTGACTCTTATTTAATAATTTATAATCCCTTACAGGAAATGCAAGTATGGATATGCAGTCTTGAAAAATGCATGTTGTAGTTTCTAGTGTTAAATGATGAAGACATGCAGTAGCATTTCAGCTCAAATAACTAGAAATTTAATGCTAACAGGTTTTATGCCAGGTTTTGACATGAAAGACTGATAAATGCACGCTGTAGTTAGTTGGCTGTTCTATTAGGAGATACCACCTGTTTTTCTTCCATAAACTACCGGTGGTATCTTGTCTTCTTCTTCAAAAATATTGTAGATGTGCAGATGTTTATATGGACAGGAATTAAAATTTACTAGCATTTGCTCATATAGAGAATTTTTAATCCTGCTTCATTGGAGCTGAAGGGGTTGCAGGAACATTTACATAGTTTCTAATTCTAGTAGTAGCTCCAAAATATTCCTCATCATATAATTGTTCCATAGAATTGAATTGTAGAACTTCAGCTGTGTTGCACTGACCTGTGCAATTTTAATTTAGATAGTATAGTAATCTGTAATTCTCCAAATCAATCCCTGGGAAAAGGCACATAACAACAATTTGCAGTAGATTAACAGAATGTTGAGTATTTCTTATTTCTCTTCCTGATTCTGTATATGACCTAGAGTTTTAAATATTGATTACAGAAAAACTGCAGAGGTCCTTGGACTTAATCGTTTCTCAGCAATGGCATGAAAAAATTGATGTGAGCTCAGATCTGCCATAAATGGCACATCTGTATACAACCTTTCAATTAACTTTTTTTTTTTTTTTAAAAAAAAAAACCCTTTCAACTATTTTTTAATTTCAACTTTTAATTCAACTGCTAAAACCTTTATTACTCCAGAAAGCGAATGGTAGCTGTGAGGCAAAAGGAGCTTTCTTGCACTCTTGGAAGAACTGTCTGAATTTGTGTTAAATGAGGCTATTGCAACAGAAGGCTTTAAGAATTTTTTTTTCCAGCAGAGTACTTCATACCTGGGTGTTTGGGCGCTGTGCTGAGAAGTGAATGTATTTTTTGACTGATTTGTTTTAGGTCTCCTATGATTTAATGTGCACATCCTAACTGTTATGTTGTTCATTCCTTAAAAGTGTGAATCCTCTGAACACTCATGAGACAGCACTTCCATGTTGCAACAAATGATTAAACCTTCAGTGAGATGGAGGCTAAGTGAGTGAAAGTGATCTTCAAGTTTGGTAAATGACCAGTCACTGCCAAAAGTGTATATCTATGTCTGTGATGTTTAATTAACGATGCCAGAAGGACATTGTGAACAGAACAGATGTTACCCTTTTCCTTACTCAATCCAGGCAGGGGTATCTTGGGGAGGTGTTGGATGTGCTCTTTCCTTAGCTGAAGCAGGGCTGAACTTCCATTATGCAGACAGTCCTGATCCTTGAGCTGTTGTGTGAGAAGGTGGAATTTCTTCTGCAGATTTAGGACCAACCATGGAGCATTTATTTGTAAACTGATGTAGGTATTCCACTGAGATTTTTAATAGGTGGTGGGAGGACAGAGGTATATTTGAGCTGTCTGCATATCAATTCACTCTAGCAGCTGGAGCTTCTCCTACTGAATCTGCAGGATTACCAGGTTGTTAGATTCTTACATGCTTAGACAAATCTAAAAATTCTTTTGCTGATGGGTAGAGGATAATATTTTGGTCCTTCCACGTTCTTATTCTGTTCTTATTTAGTTTTCTGTGGGTTAGCTGCCAGTACAAGGACTGTGCTTGATTAGCAATGTTGAAAGAAGACATTCATATGCTGTAACTGGGACATGGCTTAAGCATACAAATAGGCTTAACTCAGATTGTGCCCAGATTGTTTGCTGGCATTTGACTGAGTGTATCATAAAGTACGTTTTCTGCAACAGAGATAATACAACATATTCCAGTCTGAATTAAATGTTTTCTTTTCTTTGTTAATAAACTGGTTTCTTTGTAATGGAATGACATGATAGCATGATAAATGTGTGCTAAACCTAGGCATTTAAGGCATACCTTAGTCAAACAAAAGAAACAAAAACCAGACGGTAATGCAATAGTAACATAAAGTGACACTGGCAAGTATTTCCACAGCAAAAAGTTTAGTGTTTTCTTATCCTACCTAAATAAGGAAGAATTTCTGTTTCAAGTTTAAGATACAGTAAACTGAATCATTACACTAAGCTTATTGAAGTGCACATGCACAGGACTTTCTGCTTAAGAGCAAAGAATAGATGCATTGGCAATGCCCTTAACAGACAATTTTTACTTATTAAATAGAATATTATTACATTTAGAAGGAAAAAAAAATGCTATTAGAGCTTTTATGTATAACTCATTGCATATAATCTAGCTCTATTTCTAGCTCTTGTGTAAGGAAGAAATCATGACAGAACTGTTCCTTCGGAGTGCAATTTCTTTCAAAATCACATGGACTGTGAAATCACATTACTTTCACCAAGCCTTAATTTCAGAAGCCAAAAAGAAAAATGACTCAGATGGCTTGGCATCATTTTTGAAATTACAAGTACTTTATTTCCATTGCAAAATGAATTTCATTTGAGATAACTTACAGTTTAAACTGTATTATGCATCATAATTCAAAATCAGAAGTCAGAACTAAAACATCTGATTTTATGAAGGCTAAGTATTTAAATCTACACATTTTTTTTCCTTCAGTTTTCTCACAGTTTTCTTTCATGGGGGAATTTCTGTTCCCAATAACATGAAAACTTTTTTCAAAATTCTTCGCAAAACATCCCTGCTCTACAAAACGCCACTCATGTCAGCTCATGAATGTTTTATTTGTGTGCTAGTCTTTACAAATAGATATATAACTGTGTGTGTGAAAAAAAAAAGCCATTTTAGAATTCTGAAATGAAAATGCAGATTTGGCAGAGTAATCATATTTTGGAAAGATTAAAAGATTATATTCATTGAGTGCAATGGATAAGGTTTTTATACTACTGTTTTCTGTTCTGTTTGAATGAATGCAACCTTCTGGTGAATACCACTGCTCTTGGAGCAATTTATATGTTTCTGATTTGTGACTTGTGCAAAATTGTCAACTTCTACTAGGAATACCACCAGTTATGTCTTAATTACGCTGTCATTTTCAGACACATTTTGCAATTTTTCTAGCATACATTGTAAAGCAATGATAAGACAATTCTGGGGCCCGATTTGCTCTTGAAAGCAAGGTGCTTTCAAAAAATACATCTGAATCATTTGCAGCTAGATATGAGAGCCTTAATCTCATAAACTGCTCTGAGAAGGAAGAATTACTAGACAACTTCTTAAGTATCTGAAGAAATAAACCAGAGTTTCTCTCAAAGTAGATAAAAGCTGGTTAGATTATTTAATTGAATAGCTTTAATGACAAAATTAAACATTTCACTTTTGCATAAGAATTCAAGTTTATTTATCATGTAGCCTATAAAATCTGTCAAAATAGAATTGTCTTTTATGTTCAGATGTTATGTTTTAAACATCTTGTTTGACATAGAGTGTTGGTAAGTTCCACAAATTCACCATGTTGTAATGCTCCAATTCAGTACTAACCTTAATAATAATTAATAACTCCTCAATGCCTATTAAGTAAATTTGCATGAAAGTTTGATTGGTAGCTAGGATTATTGGCTGGATGACAGAGCTCAGAGGGTGGTGCTCACTGGTGCAGAGTCTAGTTGGAGGCCTGTAGCTAGCAGTGTCCCCCAGGGGTCAGTCCTCAGTCCAGTCCTGTTCAATTTATTCATCAATGACCTGGATGAAGGCACAGAGTGCTCCCTCA